ACAAATAGACAAAGTGTCTTTTATATAAATAGAACATCCTCTCTCAGTCATTATTATAAAATTAATTTTAAAACTATAATGCTTATTACACATTTTAGTAATTATGTATATTATGATCTCACAAATTTCAATGATCCAGGACAGTATTCATAATCGGTTCTTATTTCAAAATCGTCTTAATACTTGTCTTAAGATGCTAATGCGGCTTTCTGATTGATTCATGACATCTCAAAATTGAACTTAAGATGGTTTTGAATATAAGAACTAACTATGGATACCGGTCATAGTCCGTTCTTATTTCAAGATTGTTTTAAGTAATGTTTTAAGACGCTAATATGGCTCTTTGGTTGGTTCATGATTTCTTAAGATTGTACTTAAGACGATTTTAAGTATAAGATTTGATTATGAATACCGCTCCTTGATATGTTGTCAAAGTCATGATTCTGAATGACCTCAACAAATTTTTACTATCATTCGTTAGTTATTATATAACTTATAAGTTATAATCAAAATTAAATATTATTTTACTGAGTTTAATTTTATTTTTAGTATATTATTAACTCATTTATGTAGTAAAGCCAGGGAAGTAACTCATTACTTACAACGAAGTTACAATTATTTTTCTTCAGTAAGTGCTATAATAGAGAAAAATGTAACGAGACGTAGTCATAACGTAGAAAAAAACATAAAAGTTGTAGTTGTAACTGGTCGGAAAAGTGCTTCGATCTCCAAACTATAGGTTTTTTAAATTTTTGGTTAAATTTTCTCTTCACACAGCCATCTCCAACTGATCTTGATCTTGACCTCAAGAAGGTCACAGTTATTGACCTTTTCCATCGCAGCACTATTCGTTAAAAATTCTATAGATTCTAATAAATTAAATCAATAAGAAAAAAAAGCCTTTGAAGAACCAATTAATTAATCAATAATTGAAAATTTCAATTATTTTATATATAACGTGATATATAAAACGTGATTGCAACAGTCTCTTCAAAGGTTTTTTTTCCTTATTAATTTAATTCATTAAAAAGTTGAACAAAACAATTTTTATGAATAGCACGCAATGTTTTAACATAAGATATTTCAGTAGTATTTTCCCTGGAGGGAGGGAGGGTAAATCTTGCTTCGCCTGGAAAGTTGCGCCTCTTGGTAAGGAAAAAACAGGATGAACCTCGCTTCGGAATTCATCCTCTGCCTAGAAGTCCATGACTTTTCACGCGAAGTTAGATCCACCAATTTTCAATTTAAATAGTACTAAGTACTAAGACGTTCTGTATGGATCCCTGATTTCAATATTAAATTTTTTTACTACGATTGTATCCTGATATTCACTTAACAACGAAAATCCGACCAATCATTATAACAATGACATATCATACATTTAAGCCAAGGGCTCAATAATTGATATCGAAATCTATTTCAACAAATTGCATATTAATTACTTGCATATTAATTTTATATTAATTACATCCAATTCTTTGCTAAAAAAAGTCTTGTGGTCTCGAAACGTTCTTTTTAGTTATATGTAATAAATGTATTAACTTTATCTATATCTGCCATATTCAGCTTGACTAACTGATTTTTCATATAGTTTTTTCATTACGTTACATGAGTGAATCTATACTTTTGAAAATTTACAATATATACGATGTGAATAATAGATATTTAGTTTTATGATTACCGTGCACTCCTTATTTCATAAAGCTTAATAATAATAAAGCTTAATAAATTTCATATTGATTATTATATAAATATATTATTGTTTTAACCTCTTTTCTAATCCTTGAACTTCTACGTCTCGACGTGCATGAGAAGGTGTTGATGTAGGTGTTAGTGCGGATATAGGTGTCATCGTCGGCGTCGAAGCAGGCGTGCCGCTACGCAACGCAGAATCTTTTCGTCTAGATGCGGGAGAAGCCGGTGCTGAGCCGACCGCTCCTGTGTTACCTAGCCAAGAATTCTTACTGTTATCGTTTTCTGTTTCCGTAGGTGAAAGTAATAATCCAGGAGAAAGCAACACAACCGGCACTCGGGCAAACTGCTCCGTTGGTATCCGCATCTAGAATATTTTTATACAATTACTTTTTTCCTCTTTTACTGATTCAAAAATCCTTTTTCAGAATTAAAGTATACAATGAATGTGTTCGTGAAGTGAACATGTGTTTATGAAGTGGAATTTATGCGAAAATATCAAAAAATTTCAAAATTGAAATTTACCATTTTTTAGTCCAATATAGCGCTTTAGAATTGTCACATTGTGACAACATTTGTATAAGAGCTATGCAATCTATTCTTACGAACTAGTAATCCACACGAGACTAGTAGTTCGCACGAAGAAACAATATGGAGTTTTCAAAATTAGACTTAGATGTCTAATTAAAACGCTATTATTATACAAAAATTTATGTTTATGTGTGGCATGCGTGAGTGAGATATTGATGTAGTAGTATATAGTGATGTATATAGTGATAGTATATAGTAATAGTATATAGTGATGTATCAATGACATCATCATAAATGAAGTCTATTGGATAAAATCAGGTTTAAAACTTAATTATAACTAACCAGCTATGGAAAACAGGCCTTAAAAATTTATACTTTCCTTATAATAGTGAATGTAAAAAATCTTATACTAACTTTTGAATAACATTTCACACAGACAGTCCTTTTGCATAAGCGGCAACGTTGTCCCCAAGGACCCAGTAGACCAAAACGTGTTTTCAGACAAAGAAAACAAACACGTCTTTTTTCCACATCCTCTTTTACGCGCCCTTCTACGGGAAGAGATTCTAACTCAGCTTTTGTAAGGACGCTACGAATATGTACAATCTCATCCAATGTTAATGACAGTCTTTCGTCCAATAGCATGTCTCCTAACGTCGCTTTCTGCAAAATATAATTACATTTAAATATATTTACATGTAGTTTTGTCTTTTACGTTTCCATATCATATAATATAGGTAAATATTCAGATGGGAAGCCAGCACCATCTGAATATTTATTACGATAGCAAACGTACATCTACATCCGTATTCTACATTTTCTAAATTCTAGATAGCTATGATCTTTCTTCGTGCTACTAATATTCAAAGATTTTCAAACGGAAAGACGCAAACGTAAAATAAAAGTTTCATAAAATCAAGTTCAGTCTGTAGAAATGATCGTGGATAACATTGACGAATTTTTAGACGCTGGTAAAGTGATTCGCATGCGTGCGAATTTATTATCCTTCAGGGCATTATATGATAACATAGTTTCTATCTTTAAAGTAGCAAGAGATATTTTTAACTTTCAAAAACTATCAAATATATGATATTTTGTTGTAATTAAATTGAAATAGAAGATATGACAATTTGTTGTTGAATAGAAGAAAACAAATATATGAAAATTTGAAAGATGTAAAACGAGAAGATAATCAGATACATGGTTATGTCGTTTATATTTGGCAGTAGACATGAAGAATATATCGCTTATTGGGAGATCTTTAAGAATTAATTTCTCATCAATTATTGTGAAAATTGCAAAATATGTAATACAAAACTTTTAAACTCAGTTTAGTTCGCTTTACCTACTCACAAGAAATAATCCAATAGATATCTTATTATATGTATAAAGATCAAAATAAAATCACTATATAAAAAATACGTAACATATCTATACTATTAAATTCGGAGCCTTTGTAGATTATTGGTTGCATCCAAATTTAAAAAAAAGGATTTAAAAAAGAATAAGAGTAATATATATTTTGTACTTTATCAATATCATCCCACTCATCATCCGGAGCTTTGTCGTTCTTGTTCTCATGTGCAACCGCATGTGCCAATTGCGCTTGTCTCGATGTTCGTGGTTGTGGACTATAATTCGGGCTAGGATTCAGACTAATGTTGGGACTTGGACCTTGACTTAACACCAAATCTTTAAGGCCAGCATGCTGCCGACTATGTGGTCTTGATTGTGGTAGGGATGACGTTCCCGTGAATGACATTTGCGGTACAGTGCATTTTGCAGCGTGTCTTCTTGCAGATGCTCTTCGGGAAGGACATTGCGTCGCTAGATCGTAAGCTGCAATAGGATAAAGAGATTCAAAAATAAAATAAAAACCAACATAAAGCAATCAAAAGTCAAATTGAATTTTTTAGATCGTTCTATATGCGATTAAATTTTATATGCGATTCAATTTTTGTCAATTTATATTTGACTAGAAATTTTTTCATTAAAATTTTATTAATAAATCTTAAGCAAATTTTCTTTAAGAAAAATTAAATAGATTTTATATACTTTCTATTATTCTCTTTTTTAATATAGTAAAATAACTAAGTTATATTTGGACGTACTGTTGTCAGCATGTTACATAAGAATGGTCAGGAGAATTAATATACATTTAAGATCACACCTAACTATTAAAAATTTTTAATTGTTTGATCCAAAGCTTATGACGTATTCTTTAATTGTTGAGATTTTTACAACATCAAATCTATGAATTTGATAGTGACTCACATCAATCAGGAGAGTTTTATTAATTTACGTATTAGCTGAGGAGGACTTCAAAGAGAAATGTTTTATTGATTGACGTTTTTTTGGATGTATTTTGGATGTAAGGATTTGAACAAGTAAAAAGAAATTTTACTTGATTTTGCGTACCAATATCCAATAACTTCAAATATATAATTCAGTTCAAATAATTAATCTATTTCACTTTATCTTCTACTTCACTTTATCTCTAAATCTATTTCATTTTAAGTACAATAAGATTGAATCATAGCGATTCGAAGCGAATTGAATCTAATTACTTTATTCCATTCGTGTTTGAATAGTTCGCACATTTCTAATAATTATTCATACTCGCGATATAAAAAAAAGTTGAACTCTGTCGTAAAGTATCATTAAAAAAAATTATGAAGAAAATGATTTAAATTTTTTACGAAAAAGTGAATACAAATTTAAAAAATTCATCTCTAAAATCAATCATATGTTACAACATATATGTATACGTAATTGCATTTAATAGAAATATTAGAGGAAAAATTAAAATAATGATAAACAGATAAAGTAAATATATACACGTACATGTGCTAATTATGATCAATAATTATATGATCAACAAAATAAGAGAAAGTTCAAAGATTATTTATAATAATTACATTCTAATTGAGCATCACAGAATCGGTGGTATTCATTCCTGGTTAGACGAAGTCCGCCAGTTTTTCGCCATGGATTAGCAGATCCTTCCTCATCATCATCTCTCACATGATCGTGATCTTTATGTCCGTTGCGGACTCCTTTTTTAGAACCAAAATTATCTTTAAGTTGCCAATAATTACAGATTTCATCTTCTTCCTCGAACCTTGTCTCCATAAAATTTTCCTCATTGTAATCATCCTCATAATCATCTTCATCATCTTCCGCATCCAACTATTTAAAAATGTAATATGTGCAATATATGTTATAAAGTATTAAGAATTAAACAGTAAAATTTAATATAATAAAATTTTAAATTTAACCAGATATATATATATAAAACATTGAAAACGTTTCCGATTGTTAATCATTTTTATTTTCAATGTTGAAGGAGGACGCCTGGTTTATAGGATAAAAAAAGATCGATTTTTTTATTTTATAAATTAGTAGTATGACTCTTCAAGAATATATTTCTAAAATTTTAGAATGAAATTCAAAGTCCTTTCATAGATTCGCTTGTAATGGGAACACGGCACACAGATATACAGGGTGATTCAGAACAGCTCCATATTCTTGTAAAGACGTGGTCTGGAATTCTAAAACAATTTCTCTATGGAAACTTTTATCCGACGCTTACTTTTTGAGGTATTAAAAGATAAAATTAGTAAATTACGGACTGTGTATAGAGGGTAAGCAGGTGCGGTCACAATTGTCTTAGGCCTGATTGCACCAATATTACTTTGACTTTAAGTAAGACTTGAAACTCTCACTTTCTCTCTTTAAAGTTGAAAGAGAGAAAGAAATAAAGAGTTTTAAAGCCTTGCTTAAAGTCAAAATATAACATCAGGTCTAAGACAATTGTTAGTGTCGTAACGAGAGTCTCTAGTACAATTGGGCCTTAAAGACATAGGATTATTCTGATTTACATAATACACGCACAATCTCTCTCTCTCTCTCTCTCTCTCTCTCTCTCTCTCTCTCTCTCTCTCTCTTTCTCTCATTCCAAAAAAGTTATTCTATAAAGAAGATCTAATATGCCGATAATATTATAAATAACTCTTAGATATCCCATTAAAATTTTAAATCGAGGACAGAAGAATATAAATGATAAAGAAATTTGATATCTATTGTAGGCTACGTCAAAAGTATTAGAGCGCTCCTGAACACCACTATGAAATTTAGGCCCTTTTCAAACAACCACATTATCACTGAATCATAACTATCTCTCTTTGATACTTCTGTGTTTCGCCTATTTTATCATCTGTATAAAATGTTTCTTATAACATCTATATGCCATACGAATAAATATATGAAAAGTGAACCTTCAAATCGAAGTCAACAGGTATCACTTTCTTAGTTTGTTTAGCAACATCCAAATTTCTTCCAGATGGTTTCGGCAACAATTCGCGTTTATTGATATCTTCTCCGTTCTGTGCTATATCTGAAAAGTCAAATTTATTCTCAATATAATAATTAAATACAGATTAATACTAATTATATCAAAATATATTAAAATTATTTATATGTTGTTATGTAATGAGATGAAAAGATATGACAAATGAAAAAAAATAATAAGACTATGTCCAGTTTGGACCTCAATTGAAACATTGAGACATAGGATTGTAGGGCATTAAAAAAGGATTAAAAAAGGATTATAAACTTCCATATGCACAACTTTATAAAATAAGTCCCTTGAGGGCTATAGCAGTTCAAAGTTCGCTATTATGATCATATATTGTACTACTGCTTTTATTCCATTTCTCGAGTTATATAGTATCTAGGATATGCTCAATATCTATAATGAGCTATAAAGGCGTTGAGTGGCAAGCTATTCGGTGCAATTGACTCGCGATCTATAAATCCAGGTTCAGTCTCATCTGGACTCATATTCTGTATATGTCACCGAGTTGTTAGTAGATGTATACAGAATATGCGTCCACATGCGCGATTTTCTGCATTTAACAAGCCGAAAATAATTCCATCTGGTGATTAAAAAATCTTTGATCATCAGCGCCGATCGAATCCGACGTTAAACTGTAGGTCCCATATATCAGTGGATATATGTATGAATCTTCCAGGGAATTGGACTTTAGGCTAACAACCTAATTCCGGAAAAAATCCATTATTATTGAAACTCAATAGAGGCCCTATATTCCACACAAAAGTTAAAGGAATATACATGACGAACTATCCGTTTAACATCATAGTATATACCATAGCTAAACTACTGTAGTAATAGATTTGCGGAGTATGTCGATTATCCTGCGAGCGTAAATGCTTACTATCTATAAATTTATAGCAACAGAATAACATGGATAACTATATAAATGGATTTGGATTTTTGTATATATATATACACACACATATATTCAATTTTTTTTTTATACTTTTACTTGCAAACGACCGCATTTTATATCATTAACAATTATTATAATTTTCTTTTGTATCATTCATTTATATTATATTTATCAGTTATATTTATCATTCATATATATCATATTAATCATTTATACTTATCATATTATATCATTTAGTATATTTAGTATATTTTTATCATTTAGTATATTTATCAGTAATATTTATCAGTTTTATTTTCTTTCTCATTGAAAATAACTTAGGGCCTATTCCGCAACTCTTAACGATATCGCCATTACAGAATAAATCCCTTAATGTAAGGCCGAAATGTTTATTTATAATATTGCTTTTAATACGTTAATATATTAATATAAGCACTCTTACATTTGTAGCACAGTTTATAGCTTCTCATTTTCATAATCATTGAATTTTGTTGAGTTTTTACTTATTATTTTATTTATTTTTAATATTTGATGATAAATATCAGATTATATTTTGAAGTGAATCGCTTTACAAATATTTATACCTACTGTATGATAATGAGATGAATGAGATGATTACCTGAGACTGTAATGCGCCTTCTACGTGACTTACGATTCCTGTTGAAAGGTAAGATCCTAGTGTTGGATCTTTCCTTAGCAATCCTTTGTCGTGGCTGTGGTACCGGTGGTACATCTTGCCTCCTTTGACTCGCTGCTACCAGAATGCTGTCGCCAGTTGCCAACGTTCTCTGATCTTCTGACTGCAACCATTGTGCCGCAACATCCTGTGCAGACTCCTGCTCTTGATCTGGTTGTGAAGGTGGTACCTCGCCGAGAACTATCATATGAGATTCACCGCTTACGTTATCTAAAAGAGAAATAAGATATAAGAATATAAAATGTATGTACATAAGTTTATTTTTCAAGATTAATTTCTGAGATATATATATATATATATATATATAT